TGGTCTGCAGGAGTGTGGCACGGGGTGTAAGTACATGATTGGGTGCTTCGCCTTTAGTGCAGGGTATGTATCGACTAGGAATGTTGAGCGGGAATTGCGCTGTGTGGGAAAAGCAAAAACTGCCTTTGAACACGGGTTTCAGAAAGGAGCTCACCAGTAGTGGGGCAGAGCAGCCACCAGCTGCTTGTACGTTTTCAGATGCTTCCCAAAGGTCTTGAACCGTATGCAGACTGTGTCCAGTGCATGCACACAGGGAAACGCCTAACTTGAGTACTGGAGAGTCACCAGAGAGTGTGATGAAAGGCCATCAGCCTCAGACTTTCTGGTTTGAAGCTAGTAAACAGAACGGAAAAGAGGAGCACAATTTGTGCAGCCAGCAGGTATTTAGGCTGACAACTTTGGAGCAGTCAGCATCTTTGAACATTGCCATACTTTAGCAGACTGCATTTTGCTTTCAATATGCACTCCTGCAGCCGTCCCATTCCCACTTTGCAGTACGAATCAAACTTTGAGAAGAGAGCGAAATTATGTGCCTGATGGCCAGTGTCACCCTTATGATGTGTATCCCGCAGGTGAAATACTATAGCGACGTCGTGGGCAAATTAGTGGCAGAGCGTGCGGGGCGCATGGAGTGCATGATGCAGAACTTGGCTGACTCGCTGGCGGATAACATGGGCGCACCGCTGCCTGTCGGGCGGCACGACCTGCTGTCCACCTTCATGGTACACAGCCAGCGGCGCAAAGTGACGTCGTCGGCGAAGAGGAAGAGGGACCCCAAGGCAACGAATTTGCGGCAGACGCCCGAGGGGTCGTTCTGGGATCTCATGGCCAATGCCAGGGATGTGCTGAGCCTATGCGGGGTGGACACGCCAGAGGTGAGGGAAGCAGAGCATGTTAATTGTTTCCAGTTCGCTTTTTTATAAAAGCGCTACTATTTTCTAGCTGATTATAAATAATATCCAGTGGACAGCCTTTTGAGCACGAAAATTGCCACTTCAACGATGTATAAATTGCGCAGTTGTCACGAATATTGAGCAATTTAAACTATCATAGTGCTTACCAAAAATGGACCTTTATGACCTTCATGCCCGGAAATGAAGGGCATCGGACATTTAAGCACGTTGTTGGTTGCTGTTTCCTCCCCGTTGACAAGCTCAAAATCGTGTCTCTGTGGCGCACAGCGCGAGCATATCCCGTAGCCGTGAACGAATTGGAAGGAACCGTTTCATCGGCGTCGACATTTCTTTCAGGGGCTATCCTGGCACATCATAAGCGGTGGTCGTCATCATCACCATCACCGCCATTGTTTACGGAACAAAAAGCAATGAGGTAGCCGGCAGCCTCCTATTTTGCCCGAGCAAAGCAGTGTCTATGATCAGTTGAAATTGAAATCTAATGTTAAACACAAACAAAGTCTATGAAGTCATAAGCGTTCACTGCAGCACAGTGACCGAACGGGATCTCTGTCTTGCGTTTGCAGTTGACGCCAGTGCAGGAATACCTGAGCACCGGCCCGTCCTTCATTTTCCTCTTCCACCCAGCGCTGGGCCCCCTCTGGGAGGTCGTGGCGCAGAAAATCCAGGGCGGTGCCCTGACCCGCGGCTCAGAGCTCGTCCTGGAGGTCGCTGAGGCGAGGCTGCACAACGTCGTCGTCGACGGAAGCCTCCTCGTTGAGGCGGACGACGTCATGGGCCACATGGCGGTCGCCGCCGCACCCACCCCAACTGTTGGGGCGCGGAATGGAGACGGCCCCGTGGGGGACTCGACCGGGATTTCGCGCGACGACTGGACGGAAAGTCCGTCTGCGAGCGACGACTCGACTTCGGGACGCGACGAAGACGCGGGCCCGTCGACGAACGGCTCCTTCGCCCGACCGGAGGACTCGGGGGCCGCTGAAAGGCGTCTGGTGTTTGGCTGCGGCTGCGGCAGGGTGTGGATGGAGAACGTGAGGATTCGAAACCGGGGCGTCGACTGGACGAACCCGGGCAACGTGTACTGGAAGTGCGAGGTCGCACGCCACCAGGCGGCGCGCGTGGTGCTGCGCGGCCGCTCGGAGTTCTCTGCCGTCGACGTGGAGATCGACGGCGACCAGGTGTTCGAGGTGCCGCACGGGTGCCGCATGGACGTCCGCGGGGACGGGCGCGGGGGTTTCGTCGCGACGCTCGCCTCGGTCGACGAACCGTCTTGGGAGTGGACGTACGAGCCGCGAGAGGACGGCGGCGTGCGGCTGGAGCTGTTGCAGGAGCGGGGCCGCTGCTGACGCGCGGGTCAGGCTGGCCGGGGCTTTTCTGTCTGGATGCTGACGGCGAGGTGCCGGCGGGGAAATTGTTGTGAGAGGGGCGTCTGGCGGGCTGGAGCGAAGTCGCGAAGCGGTTGCGCCATTTTGAGGTTTGAAGGGGCGTTGTGTGGAAGGCGGCTGGAACGGTCCTTCCTGGGCGACCTGGGAACGATGCGAGATGTTACCTTGCCAGGAAGGAGACAACGGACAGTTCTGGTCGCCGATTTTGAAGCTTTGAGAGCCCTTGCCGGCGGACCCTGGCCTCGCGGTTTCTCAGGCTGGGCGCACCGACGCTGAAAACTGAGCCGCCTGAAATCGAGCCTCAGCATGCAAACCGAACCAGTGGGCGCATTTGCTTCTTTCATCAAAAGTATGGCATGAGTACACGAGGATGCGGCCAGCCATCAGATTTGCACCCCAAAGAATCCTGCTTGATCATAGTCGCCCGTGGCAGTACCGCCAACACCCAGTGGCGCATTGCCGATTGTGCAGCCGCTTCCCACTCAACTTTTATTGCGTTGAGGATGGTTTCAAACGGCAGACAGGGCGGAAATAGAGTGCGCGCCACAGACCCAAACCTCAATGCGTATGATGGCCAAACCCCCTCCATCCATTCGCCAGCACTTGCAGGGCCGGAGTCATCATCCTTTCCCATTTATTCAGGCGAGAAAATCCTTCGCGCAAGACCAATCTCGTCAAACCAATTCTGTGTGCAGTTGTCCCGTCTGGTGGCGTCAGCCCATATCAACCAGGCCAACTTGAAGCTGGAACAAAGGCGTTGTGAACTTTGATGTCGCAGTGTCCTGGTGTGTGCACTTCTGGAGGTGGCCGCGGGAGGGGAAGTTCTGATAACTCCCCCCCCCGCCCTTCATCGCCTCAAGCCCGCCTGTTTTCCCAGCCACAGAGATGTGCACCCGCGAAATGGGCAAATGGCGGAAAAGATTTGTTTTTCGTTCGAAGAAATCCGGCTGGAAGGAAGGAGAATCTGGTAGGATTTGGAAGGCAGGATTCGGAAGGATTTGGCTACATGCGATGAGTCAAAAACGGCGAGCCAGGTGGGTGAATTTGTCCCCTGCCCCAGGCAAACGGAGCCCGCACGGCTCGGTGCGCGGGACCACGGGGCCCGGCCATGGGGCTCTGGGCACTCAGCTACGAGGTCTTCGGCCGGGTGCAGCGCGTGTACTTTCGGAAACACACGCAAGAGGAGGCCCAGCGGCTGGGGCTCGTGGGCTGGGTCCAGAACACGTCTCGGGGGACCGTGATCGGCGAGCTGGAGGGGCCGCGCTACCAGGTCGAGATGATGAAAGTGTGGCTGAGGACCACCGGCTCCCCTGCGTCGAAGATCGAGAGGGCGGAATTTGGAAACGAACGGGAGATCGAGGCGCTGAGCTTCTCGGCGTTTGAATTTCGGCGATAGATGGTCCGCGACAAGGGCACGGTGAGAGCGATTGCAACGCAACCGATGCACGGGCAAGTGTCGCGTCGTTGGGGTTAGGCTTTGGATGTCAGGTGGAGGGCGCACGGAATGGCGCGCGGGAGCAGGTTTGAGGGGGCGGGAGCGTCTGTGGGTCAATGGGTGGGTCTAGGAGGTACCTCATGGGCCAGCGAATGCCAAAGGTGTGGCCAAAAGGCTAATGAAGACGGGCAGGAGACGTGGTGACTTGGGTCGCCAGCGTTGCCGATGATGCAATCCGCAAGGAAAATTGACAACTAAGCCATCCTCTCCTGATCAAAGGGTGTGTGTACATGTGTTTGGTTACTCCGTTAATGTCCAAAACCACATGTGGTGTGATCCCAAGAAAACCTGTGTGGTGCATTGTGTCCTGTCAGCAATTACACACCGCTGGAGAAGGGACTTGACCCCAGCAACTCTCCTCCCACTGCATTTGGAGTTTCTAGCCGGCGTTGGTGCATTGGCAACCACAATGGGGGCCACCCACAATGCACACCGATCAGCCCTTTCGCTTCCTGGCCTTCTGCAGCAGTTCCTGTTCGAACGCCTCCGGGTCCACATGCAGGCGGGGAGGCAGCATTCCCTCCAACTTGTCCTGGAGACCTTCGTTCTCTAGCTCGCTGAAGACCTGCTCAACTTCTCTCTGCTCAGCAGTCAGACTGTCATGGCAAAACTGCAAGTGGGGTGTGGACCTGGATGCAGCAGAAAATCACGCATGTGATGTGTACGAAAAGGACAGGAATGGCAAAAAAACGAAATTGTGCCCAGGGTTCTGACCAACGTTGTAGGTGACTACTACCACCTGTAGCCTTCTGTGGGCAGCTGCAATGCATGTAGCAAAAGAAGGATGCTGGTAGAAATATGCTGGTCACAAGGTCACGTCCATTTCTTACTGGCCAAAGCAGTGTTGCTGAATCCTCTCGCTCTGAACTATGAATTTCTCCCCCACTGCAAGAACACGAGTACCTCTCTCAGTCTCACCTTGACGCCAGCCTGTCCCCCAACGATTTTCGTATCCGTTTCATGCTGCCGTCGCCACAGAAAGCGATGATGCGAATGAGCCCCCAAACCCAGCCAAGATGATGAGGAAGTAAAACGACAAAGTGGGGCAGAGCAGGCAAAGGCAAGAGAAGCGCAAAACACTCACTGCCTGTTGATGGTGTTTTGAGCATCAGTTCGTTTCCCTGGGAAGCAACTCCACTGAATGTACGCGACTTGCTTGTCTTGCCTAACTCTCACCTGCAGGAATCAGCAGTGTAACCATCAATGACAAAGTGCATGGGTGTCTTCTGCATAGGGCCACCCCTTCCAGGCCAAAGTGGTCATGAACAAACTGGAAGCAATGTTCTACCTGACTCTTCCATTTAGAGGAATATTACGACAGAATGGTGCAATTCTGTAATGATATCTTCTGGAAATTTAAAAAATAGCATTTTCTTATACCACCATCTGTTGTGCATGTTTCACTTGTGCTCTACTCAAAAACACGCGCTATCCTTGGTTGCCCCACAGTGGTTGCACTTGAATCGTAGCCTGCAAATCACAGACCATCCTTTAGGCACCAGGGCTTGGGGTTCCAATGGGTCTCCTACCTTGGACAAAGCTTCAATGAATTTCACAGTTACTTTGCAATGCACGATTACCAATGCAAGATGGCATAATTAAAGTGGAAATGCCCATGCGTGCGTCCAGGAGGGCACAATTACCGCAACACACGCACCCAATCAGACAGCTAGAAATGCATTCGAGGCGTCCAAGATCTCGAAAACGAGCGAATGGACTGACAATCCTAGTCTTGTAGAATAATCGTGGAGACATTCAGGACATGGCCATCCCCCTAACCCTTTGCTCCCAGCCATCCACTCTTCTCTGCGCAAAACAATCCCTTCGATCACCTCACAGACAGTGAAACCCTTCGTTCGTATGAGCTCGTCGTGCAGGACGCCATCGCCCAGGAGGCTTCCCACCAGAGCATCCTCCACCCTTTGCCGATCTGGAATTTGGCACCCAGAGTCCAACATCAGAACGCCAAAAACAAAGCACCCAGTAGACGCAAGGACAGCGGCTTGTGGCAACTTGACAAATTGCACACATGCACGCAGGTGACGCCAATGCCTCACAGCCGGACCAGTTATGTGTACATGTACATTGTAGAATTCTGGCCAGAGCCTTTGTAGCCATATCCAGGGCCCCTGAAGGAACAGTTCACCAGCCAAGCATGAAATGCAAGCAAAGAAGCTATCAAAGCACTGTTTCACACTGTTTAACATGCAGTGGGCCACATGGCCCCAAGGACCGCTGCAATACTAACATGGGTCTGGCATTGTCAGTATGTTGTCAACCACCGCAGTAAACTACAAAACCACAGTGCAGCTGTGCCCCACACTTGAGAGTCACAATACAGCACTCTCAGAGTTCAAGCGCATCATTGCAGCCCTTTTTCTCTCTTGTGCAGAGATCTGCACTTTCATGCACCCGTCCAGTCAAACTCAGCCATCACACTACCCTTTGTCCACAATCCGTACATTTGCGTATCTGTCTGCTCTCCTTGAAGGCAATGTCTGTCGGGGAACTGTGCACACAAACACCTTATCAATACATGCATATCCAACATCTCTTAAACAATGCACGGCCATTGTCCTGTCCTGAAAACAGATGCCAGCAGAGCGCATTTCCACAACAAGCACCCATGGGCATCGATCTGCATTCACAACTAACAGATCCATGGCTCCAAGGGTCCAAGCCCCAGTAAGGCGCATCAAGATAACATTCATTCGTGAGGAACAGTGCCAAGGGTCTGGACCACATCTGTTGACGTGCTGTACTTTTACACCAGGTGTGTTGTAGATGGTGGCTCCCACCAAAGTGGGAGATTTCTGTGCAGGTCCCCTTGGGCTACATGGTCTTTTGCACAATGTGAAGTAGGAGTGGGTTGTCCAGGTTTTAGGTGCGCTGTGACGTTTCCATCGCTCTTTGCTTTTTTCATGTGTTTTGTGCCTGGCTCTGTTAGGCGTTTCTTTATGGATTTCTGCTGCCCATCTCATCTGGTGTAACTGTATCGTGGGCAGAAGGTGGGTCTGGGGATCTCAAACACATATTGATTGGACATAACCGTGCACCCCACAGTGCCTGCAAGGGCTTTGTTTGTCATGACTTTCTGACCTGCAGTCCAACGAAAATGCTGTTATTTGGTTGTATTTTGGGGCCAAGGGTCGCACTCTATGATCGTAGATCTCATGCATCGTGCCTGAACTTGGCAGAATTGACAACAAGTTGTGGTAGGCACCCACGGCGCTGCCGGTACTGTCACTGCGATGGCGCCGCCACTGTGTGTGCTTGGCATCCACAACCACTGGGCAGCCAGGCTTGACTTGCTGCCGACAATGCAACACCACAATCGTGCATTCCACCCTCCAATAGTTCGTAACCAATGGCCGTCAATTTCGCTTGGTTCATATCATTCCGCTGTTCGCAGGATCCTTTTTGTGGCGTCTGTTTCACTCTCCGCAGTCCCATCGGGCGTTTTTGAATACCATCGCGAATTCCTGCATTGTGCCGCTCGCAAGTGCGATCCCCACAGCGTCGAGGGAACATGGCACCATGCGAGGCAATCCCTCCCACGGAAAATACATGTGCGCCTCACGTGTAGTCCAAATCGATTTCGTGGTCCAGGTGCGGGCCCGCCGTCCGCCCTCCGTATCCTCGCCAGTGGCGCAGGCTGACGGCCGGCTGCACCCACAGCTCGCCGGCGGTCCACCTCGAAAAGGCCAAAGGCGCGTCCCGCAGCGCCCGCAGGCGCCCCGCCCACATGGCAGAGTCGCCGCGAACGCGGAGGTCTCGGCACCCCGAGCGCCCCGCGCCGCACCCAGGGAAACCGCGCAGCACCGAGCAGTCCACGGCAATTTGTAGGCTTTTCGGCAACAGCACCAGGTTCCGCCCTAAGTTCCACCTAGCTCCTAACGGTCGAGTGGTGCCTAAAGGTCGTGCTGCTGCGGCCCCGCACGCGACCCTCCTCCCTGGGCATTCGCCTGCGACCGCTGCACCCAAGCGAAGCAGCAGGTGAGCGTGCCGCCTGGGGACCAGAGTGGAGACGGACGAGCCGTCGCCGTACTCGACGGCCAATTGCCTGGGATCGCCGCCCCTGTGGGCGCTGCGCCCGCAGCTTCCTCGATAGAAACAACTGCCAGGCCCGCTGGGCCCTCAGGAACAGGCTCCACCCCCCGTGCAGTGAGGGCCTACAGCGAAACATGCGAGCATCTGCCCTGAAATTCTCGCTGAACTCCGTCTTGTTGAGGTCCACTGTTGCAGAATATCCTCATGTGCCCCATCCTTGCGTACCACACGGTACGATGTGGTGCGATCGGCGCGGAGCTGCCGGGAACCGGCGCGGTAGCCGACCGGCTCCAACGGGCCACGCGCCAGAAGCGGACCGCTTTGAAGGCCTCGTTGCTCGCGGTTTCCTTAAAGCGGAAAGATTGGGCAAATGGATTGAGAGATTATATCAGGGGAAGGACTGAGTTCATGAGGTGCTTCCCAGCGGCGTCGCCCGTGCTGGCAATGGGGTCCCGCGTGCGCGTGCGCTGTTAGCACCCTGTCGAGTTTCCTGGCATGAGCTGTGCCAGGAGGAGGGATCGTCTGGCAGTGAAGAGTGTCGCGTACATCGGTGTCACGGAACCTGCCGTGAAGCGATGTGTGCGTGTGCCGTGTGTGCTGACATCCTGGGCCTTAGCCTCGCAGGTTCCTTCTGGCCAGCCTTGGGGCTAATCCACAAGCGTGAATGGAGGTACGTTTGCGCATGTTGCTGCGTTCAGAGACTGGGGCAATGCGCAGATGGATGACTGCACTGGGGCGTCGGTTGAAGATCCGCGCGCGTTGAAACGATCTGAGTTGACAGCCCTGGCGGGCACTGCGTGGGACAACGCAGATATCTGGTCACTTGTAGCGCGTTTGACGCAGGCTTATCGCACAGTACTGGCGGGAGGCGGTGAGGCACTCAGCCGCCTATCCGCGCTCTGGGCGCTTGCTGAAACTTGTTGGCAGTTTGTCGCTGGGGTTGTGGGTGCACCAGCTGTTGGAGAGCTTACTGCTTTCAGCAGAGGGGCAGAGATTTCGGCAAGAAGGCTAAAGCACCAGTTGGATGGCAAGGCGCTCTGTAGGCATGGCTGACCACACCGTGGACGGTGTAGTGTCCCCTGAGACGCAGGAATACTGCAGAATGCTGATCGCCTTGGTTTCACGTGTCCACAGGACGAAATGGTGGCAATGGACTGGGGCCACCTGCCTCTTGTGGTGCTGGACAGGCTCCACGAACTCCTGAAGAAAGAGAAAGCTTGTGGCGTCCTGATGAAGTCCCTGCGACTGGTCAATCTGCACTGGGGCCAGTGGGCAACAGGGGCCATCCAGTCATTGAGCCTTTCTGGCGAGCAGTCCTTGGAGGAACTCGTGGCGGCCATATCAGAGAGGTTCCCCAGGGTGCAGAGCTTGAAGTTTGCCAGGCACAAGGGCTTCAAGGAGGATGACCTGCCTGCCCTGGGCAGACTGCGGTGCTTGCAGCACCTAGACTTCGGCGGGAAGTGCCAAATCACAAATGGTGGTCTAGAGGTGGTGAGCAGTCTGGAGAGGGTGACCTCCTTGGATCTGACGGGCTGCTCGAGGGTTGGTGATGAAGGGATTGAGCACTTGCAGAGACTGACGGCACTGCGGGAACTGAACCTTCACGGCTGCAGCAGCATATCGAACAAGTCCATGGCGTATATTGCACAGCTGGAGGCCCTGGAACGCCTGATTTTGGTGGAATGCAAGAATCTGACAGGTGAGGGAATGGACAATATTGAATTTTCTGAAATTCTGTGGGGAGGAATGCGAAAGTCCTTTTGCATGTCACCAGTGCATCACCCTTGGCAAAATGGTGCATATGCAAGTCTGGACACCCAATTCTCGGCAGGCTATGGAGTGCCACTGAGATGCTGGCAACTATGTTGTCACACGACTTGTTAAAGTCAGGCAACGTTCACAGATTTGGCATGCATGGCTGTAGTGCTAGCCAGTTGCGATTATATGCAGCTCTATTACCAGAACGTTATACATACCCACCCTCCATTGTTGTTTTGGCTGTTTTACCATTCCTAACTTTTTGTGCTGCGATTTGCAGATGCTGCATTTGAGCATTCCAAGAGATGGACAGCCCTAAAGGATCTGCGGCTCTCAGGCTGTGGGAAAATCACCGATGGGGCCCTGGACCACATCGGAATGTTGCCCACCCTGCAACGCTTGAAGCTGTGCAAGTGTAAGGAGCTGACTGATGCAGGGCTGCAGCATGTGAGCAAGCTGATGGCCTTGGAGACTTTGGATTTGAGATTGTGTGAGAAATTGACGGATGCAGGGATAGGGCCCATTGCAAGGCTTGGTGCTCTCAAGTGTCTTGTGCTGGCATGCTGCAGGAGCATCACAGATGCGGGTTTGCGGCTTGTTGGCAGTCTGACCTCGCTCGCCCACTTGGACCTGTCATTCTGTGCGGAGATCACGGACCATGGTTTGGGACACATGGAGGAATTGACAAACCTGGAGAGCCTGAATTTGTATGCTTGTGAGCATATCACAGCAGAGGGTTTGGAGGTGGTGGGTGAACTCACAAGCCTGAAAGACCTGGCCTTGACTCGCTGTGTGCGAGTTACTGACGATGGTCTGCAGCATGTTGCCAAACTGCAACGCCTGCAGCGCCTGTCCTTGTTTGGCTGCGTGGAGATTACTGATGCTGGCCTGGAGCATGTTTCCAAGCTTACCAACCTGGAGCGGCTGAGTTTGGGTTTTTGTGCCAAAGTCACGGATGAGGGCTTGCGCAGTGTTGGAGCGCTCATTTCTCTGCGGCATCTCAACTTTTTTGGGTGCACTGAGATCACTCCAGCAGGGGTGGAGTATGTGGGGTGCCTGCCGTATGTGGATATACTGGGGGTGGACGTAAAAGGAAAGATAACTCCGCAGCCCACCAAGGCCTCGACGACCCAACCCCTGTGTGGGAGGTGATCATGGAATCTGATGCGCTGTTGGACCGCCTTCTTTGGTCTCTTCAAAAGGGGACCACCTTCCCAGTTTTGCGATGCGGCTTAAGATGTGGGTGCAGACCAAAGGCTTTCATCTTCGAGCCCGCTATGGCTGTTAATGTCGATGCTTTGCTGCTGTGCCAGCTTGGCAGAACCGAATTGATGGCCTGTGCACTTCTAGTTTGCAGCCGTAGTGCGGCCATGGCTGGATAGATTTGTCCTTTGAATTGTCATCAAAGGCGCAAAGCACTTCAGGCGTGGTGGACTCGTAATTCTTTCTGGCGTCCAGATGGATATTGCGAAGCTGATGGATATGACAAACAGGCAGTGGTAATGGAAAACGGGAACGGCAAAGAGAAGGCTTTGTTGATGGACTGTGTACAGAGATGGACGCTGAAAATGCACTGTGCAAACTGTTTGGGGGGAGCTGCGATCTGTTGTGGATGGGGAACTGCAAGAGGGTGACCGTTGAACAGCGTCAGGGTTCCCGCGGAATGGTCACCATGATCGTTGAAGTCAGGTATTTAAGGCAAAACGGACAAGCAAGAATCGATGCCACCGTATTGTCATGGAAACTGCCCTGTTGACAATCTGAACCATGCTGAACCATACTGTCAGATGGATGCTAAGTGACGATGGCAATGCGCGGGAGCCCATATTATCTGCACTTCGATTTCAGGGCGTTTCATCCATGATTGCACAATTGGTGTGGATTGGAATTGCAGTTGGCCAGTGTCGCATTCAACAATGTGTCGATGTCAAATGCACTGACCGTGGCACTTTCCAAGTCGAGATGGCTTATTTGCTCGAGCTCCACATATAATGCTTGGCGCCCCTTTGCCACAACACTATCCAAGCGAAATTCCCCACCGCATCCCTTTGCCAGTGTTCGGGTCGCCAATATATGATAAAACTTATGACAAGCTGGCGACCCATGAGCCTCAAAAGTTTGCAAGGGAGTGGCGAAAATCCACAAAAGTAAAAGAAAGGGCTTAGTCTCCAATGGACGAACTCCACAAAACGAGAATACGGAGACTATAGAGACCGCCCCATTGAGCAGAAAATGGTAGCAGTGATGTTCACGATCACAAACAATAACGAACACATGAACGAACAATTCCATGCATCCAACCACCCGAGCCAGCCTTACTGGGGAGGCGCCTATGATCGACCCAGCGATGCCTATCGCCAACCTCAACAAGCTCACCAACACATGCATGCCGGCATCCAATGCTTTCACGGACTTCGCGAGCGTCTCTACCACACCCGTGATGTATTCCATCCCGATAATCGACATGCACGACAACGAGTTCCCAAGCGCAGGCAAATCACACATCAGCCACCCCATGTGTTCCGATTCGGAAGTTGCGAAATACCCGCTCCGACGGACCTACGCTCGTGAATCCACTCCTCAATGACCAGGTCCGCGAACTCTTAAGCAGACGGAGCAGCTCCAGACATCCACACGCGTACGCTGCCGAAGATGGGTCCGCAAGGGACCATGGAGACACCAAGGGGCCTTGCGCCCCAGAATAGACCAGCTCCCAACTGCACAAACTCAGGGAGGAGCTCAACCGAAATGGCAAGCTGCCTTTCGAGGGGTTTTGGTACGGCAGACGCACAACAAGGTCAGACAATCTGCACATTCCAGTCAGGAACAGTCTGGGGGTCCTGGAGATCTGTCGGGCAGGATCTTTGGCCCACATGTATTCCATTGTGATACGGTTTAACAAGGTTCAGTCCTGTCAGTCATGGCCAACGAAAAGCCTTCCAAAGATACATCCCGAACCTTTCATTCCTTTCCCATCTATCCCGTCCATTCATCAACCCATCCACCACAATCCGTCACCCACGCCAACACCCCGATCAATCATTCCCCATCGTGCTCAGCCAAACCCTGTCGAGTCATCGCGCCACGGCTCCCTCTTGGACCTCCTCAATTGACATAGTAATCCCCTGTTGGAGATCCTTGTGCGCCGCCTCCTACTCGCCGGCGGCGATGTACAGCCTTCACGCATTATGAGACGATAGCTTGGCGTGTTGCATCAGTCATAGATGGCGATCTCGAACCCGTGGGACAAGGCTGGCAGCTCCTTCCCCTTGGCTTCGCTCAGGGCCACAGGATCACTCGCATCGTGCGGCACCTCCACCTCCATTGACATGGCGGTGTGATGCTCAACAAATCCCGGCGGCAGGTCGAGCAGCCCATGCGTGCTTGTCGTGCTACCGTCACCTCTCCAGGCTGCGCGTCGATGCCCCTGGCGCCCCCGTAGGGCCCAGCGCAGGCCCAGAACTCCGCCTGGCGCTCCGCGGTCGTCACGGCCAGCATCCCGTGATTCAGCCTCCGATAGATATCTTGGGACGCGGCGTCCAAGGCGGTGACGAAGGCAGGCAGGATCGAGGGGTGGCGATCCCTGAACGGGAATTGTACGCTCGAGTCCACGGCAACGGTTTACAGCCGAGGCAAAAGGACAACAAGCGTTCTGTCCTTCATACTCCGTCCGTTCATCAACATCCTTAATGCAATTCCTAGTGCTTCATCATATTTTCATGGACTCAGCTATTAATAAAACTCAATCAGTTCTAGCCGTAGCAGCGGCACTACAGACGACGTTATCGTCATCTTCGGTTTGCATGCCCATCTCCCGGGACTCCTGGGGGCTGACGTCTGTCGCCTGGGAGAGGTGTTCGGGGGCACATTCCAACCTGGTCGTCGGAGTAGGATAGCCAGACATCCAGCAACACGTGCATGTCACGCCGATAGAAATTCAGCCGTACCCCTCTCCACACCATCGTGTTGCCCCCCAGCGACTCACTGAACACAGTCATGTGGCCTCCAAAGCTCGCGAGTCCAATCCCTCAGTATAACTAATCGAACCCCAGGCGGGGCTCCCAGCGAGCCGCTCGGTCGGTGTCCACGGCGTTGACCCAATACAAATGGTTCCAGTCCGGGCAAATCCCGGCTGACAGACGGGGCCCAGAACATGAGTTGCGTTGACGCTTCGTGGAAGTCACTCCTCCGCATGGCAACTTGGACAAGGTATCTCTCCCGATCCTCCCCATCGTGCAGCTCCCCCCGCAGCCATGGCCCGTCACTGAAGGGCATTCGTATCATCAACCAGAAGTGCCAGAACCCTGGCGGACGCTCCGTAGCATCGAGGAAACAGGTGGCAAGCCACAAGCCTCCCCGAGACAACCAGTCAGCCAGGACGAGCCTCGAGCCCTCCACTTGCAGGAAGCGCCTTGCTGTCATTCTGGCTGGGCGAACGAAGAGAGCTCGCGGGAGCTCTGGACGGGCAGCATGGACTCAGCGACGGAATCTAGGGACTCGGCGGGCTGTGCTGCCTTTCAAAAAGCGCTTCTGCCTAGGATTTGACCCGTACTGTTGGGTCCGTTCGTTGTCATTGGCAATGGTATTGGACGGCTCGCCAGACGGACAGCTGTGGGGGTGACTCATGAGTGGATTGACAGCTGGAATGTGTGAAATGACTGATGGGAAATTTATAACGATATATGAAGATTGTAGACGTTTTGTGGACAGAACTGGAACATCTCAAATGCCTTGTGATTGGCAGGAATCCATCAAAATTGGAACTGGGCATTGTAGACCCCTGTTGTAATCGATGTCAGATTCACGCTGGCCTAAATGTGACCTCCAGCATATCCATTTCCTTCATTTTACTGTACCTGATCTTATTTTAGTAGTAGACTTTTTTAGCAGCTCATTATATTCTCTTTCTTCCATATTGAACACTTTATGGCGATTTTTAGTCCTTTGCTGCATCCTCCGGCTTGACTCTAAGCTATTCTGGACATATGGCACTTATGTAACTGCCCATATCAAACAGCCTTTTACATCGCTGGTGTTAAATTCGCCGTTAGTCATTGGGCCACGTCACCCAGTGACGGGCTGATGACCAACAAAAGGCGACTGACTGGGTGACACTACACCATAAACCAGTCAGCTTTTCATGGACAGCCGCCCAGCGTTGCAAAAAAAGCGAGGAGCATGCTGAAATATCCGCGCAATATTGGCTAGTAATAAGCAAGCATGGCCAGCCCGTTCATGGGCACCAAAAGGAAAAGAGTGATATGGAGATGTTGGAATATGCTCAAAGGCCACACAGAAATGCTGATCATACTTTTAAGGAGGCACTTTGCGGCTGCAAGGACCATACAAAAACGGTCCTAAAGCAACACTATAGATGTGTGAGACAGGCCGGGTGGTGCAAGGTCAAAAATAGATAGACAAAAACATTATCTATGATACTAGAGTGGGAAAATTGAGGAAAACAGGGGGAGTTGCTGCCAAAATTTTGAGCAGCAACTAACTTTCGTGCAAAATGTCGGTAAGGGGGTCACGGAAAACAACAGAACATGCATCCTTTTCTCTTTTTGTGCACTCAGAAATAGCGATGTTGCGCACAAATTTCCCTGTTTTCTGACGGCCAATCTTGAGCACAACCGTTTTGCCCCAAAAAACACATAATCGCAATGTTGCGCACAAGTGCAGCCTTTCGGACCTTACCGACATTTTGCACGAAAGGCTGTTCAGCACTTATGGTGACAGGTCTGTTCAGCAGTTTGGGAGAAAATCTATATTATAATTTGTGAAAATGAAGATGAAATAGCTGCTGAAGTGTTGCATTACGGCTTAGCAATATGGACAATTTGATTTTGGTAACAATCAAGAAGAGTTTGGCTGAGTTTGGACGCAGCGAGGCGGCTATTTTTCGTTGGTTCAAGCCCCAATGCATCATGCGCCATGATTAACATTCGATTGGTGGATAGAATGGCGTTAGGAATATGCCCTATTTCAGGACATAAGTGCGCAATAGTTTAGGAGTTTAATTCCATCGTATATAGATGTAGTTGATCCCCAGGAGCTAGTCCCTAGGTTGTTCAACGTCATCCAACGATATTGCCTTGAGATTGGAGAAACAAGCCATCATGAAAGCTTGAGGAATTTGATATTGATGCGTT